AAAAAAAGGCATTCTAAAAGCAAAGGTAAAACAGCTGCTGATTCTCAGTTGTCAGAGCATTGACATACATTGTCACAGCATTGACATTAAGAGGATCAAGCTTTTATTTGCATTTCGAACCACAAATTACTCTCCAAATTAATATTATAATTCAACTTCTTCACTAGGCCAGCATAGCTTCCCTCTTCATCTTTTTGATGATATGATCCAGCCTAATTGAAAGCTTGGTATTTTATTGAGAAAAGCCCAAAGTGTGCAATATACTAGGACAGTGCAAAATTCTAAAAGAAGTATTTCTGAAAGGGGTCCCTGAATGTAAAGAAAAGAGAACAATTATCTGCATGTTTCCCCTCCAGTTGAAACTTACCCATTCTGTACAGGTAACTCCAATGGGTCTTTTAGAAAGTCTGGGACAGCAGGCAGGCAAACAGTTCCCAAGGGCAAATTTGCACCAATAATGAGATCACCAGGCCTATAATAGCTTTTCATTGATCGGAAATAAGCACTCAATGCATCCATTGTTTGGAGTCTCTTCGCAGAAGTTGGAGACTGGAGCCAGAAGAGCATCAGCATCAGCAGTAACATGACTCCTGCCCAGTCAGTCTTGTTTCCTTCCCTTCTAGAACAGAAATCAAGGTTTGTGCAGAAACTGAAACGCAGGTAGCTCTTTAAATCTCATCAAAGCTTTAGCAGACTGATAAACACCCTTGCCATCCAGATGGCCCCAGGGCAAATTTATATCTATAGAGCTTTCTCTTACTTGTGTTTGGGTTGCCAGCAAAGAAACAACAAAGGCATGTGAGGCTTTTCAAACCCACTAGTTAGCTCTGCGCAAACCAGCTAAGGTGACATGTCCTACCCTCATCTGGAGAATTCAGAGATATTTTTTAAAGCAGGTTTCATCTTTGAAGTCAAGAAATCCACAGGGGATACATTAAGTATTACTGTTGTCCAGATAATTACAAGGAACAAAGTCTTAGACTTTGTTTTTGAAGATTCATCCACAGGACCAATTGGAATTGTGGTTACTGTACCAGCCTCCCTGCTGCATAGCAAGCTCCATGCCTAAGCCTCTGGAGGGCATCTCATGGTTGGCTGTGGAGTTCCCCAGACCTATGATCTTGAGTGATGTCAATTTGCTATCCCTGGAGCATGCCTCAGGGGCATCTCACCATGGCTCAAATCAAAATAGCAATGACACACCCAACACAGTTTTCTTATCAGTCCACTAGCAATGTGATCTGAAGGGGAGCTATCCTTGTCCCCTCTGTCCCCTCTGATCATGCCATGATGACTTTGAGATTCTCTTATGCTGCCCCTCTCTGCAGGGAGGCAGGACCTATTTGACTGGTCCACCCTTAGTGACTTGATGGACCTGATGGGGTTCCAAATGGAACTGAGGATTGTAACTGAGGCTCTGCTACATGGTCCTGCTGAGGCCTTGGGCACTGCCTGGAATAGGAAAGCTACTGAGGTCTTGGACAGGATCACTCACATGCAACCTCTCTTGGTCCATTGTTCCCAACACGTCCCATGATTGAATTGAGGGAGCTGAAAAGGATCAAAAGACACGTAGAGCACCGCTTGGGTAATATGAGGAATGAATCTGACTCAACATGAGCTAGAGCTTCTATTAAGACCTACCTTGTGGTAGTACAAAGAGCAAAATGACAATATTTCTCCATTCTTATTGCACTTCTCATTGCACTCAGTGCCACCCATGGCCTGTTTAAAGATTATCTGGAACCCTCTGGGTAAGGGTCACCTGTAGGTTTTCCTTCAGGTTTCACAGAGGAATTCTCTGTGCATCTGGTTGATAAAATTGCTTGGATCTCTTCCCAGTTGAAGGCCAAACATGGTGTAGATCCTATGGAGATGTCTGGAGAAAGGACTTAGCCAGTTATCTAAGAACAGTTTGATCCTGTTGAACCCAAGGAAGTTGACAGAATCCTTGGGATGTAAATGTGACCATCTATGAACTAGATCCATGCCCCTCTTGGCTGTTCCAGGCCACCTGGAAGGTGACGTGTTGGTTGATCCTAATGATGGTTAATTCATCCTTGAGAAAGAGGTCCTTCCCAGCTTCCTTTAAAGATACGCTATTATGGCCACTCCTGAAGAAACCTTTGCTAGACTCCCCACCATACTGATAGTTTTCATCCAATCTCCCACCTCTTTGGTGATGGAGGTGATGGAGAAAGTGGTAGTGCTGCACCTCAAGAGGATCCTGGATTAAGTGGATTATCTAGACTCCATCTACAGTAGTAAGGCTTGAGGCCCAATATGGGACAGCTAACATCATTAATCACACTATTGGATGGCCTCTGGCAGCAGCAGGATGGAGGTCATGCATCAATTCTTGTTCTTGGGGACTTTTATGTGTCTTTTGATATGACTGATATCCTTTTGGGTTGACTCCAGGACTTGAGTGTGTGACGAAGAATTTTGTGCTGGTTCATCTCCTTTCTCCATGGCCAGTCTGTCAAGATATTTAAATTTGTAACAGGAACAGTGGGGATTGTGTAAAGCAGGTGTGTAAAACTGCTGGCCCATGAGCCAGTTGCATCATATGGAGGTCGTGCCCACCCCAGCTCCAGCAATGCAAAAAAAGTCATGATATGTTGCAACATGCCATATGACGCAGCGAGTTTGACACCCATGGTGTAAAGAGTCAGAACACACAGTTGTAGCTGATTAATTAAAGAGGTCTGGCTACTGTATGAGGCAATCTAAGCTATGATTGGTTGCCTTGAGTGAAAAGGGGGAGTTTCCTTGCTTCCTGCTTTCATGTGCCCAGTATGCTCTCTGTGATTCACCTGACGATGTTCCTGCTGGGTTGATTTACCTGACTATGCTCCTGTTTGCCTCTCTTATTTGTTGTAAATATATTTATTTGTATAAAACCACAAGTTCCTGTCCGCATCTTGGAGAATGGCTGTGTAATTCCCTGACACAGTCCCAATTGGTGCTGAGAGGGAGTGAGAGGTCCAGTATGCAGCCCCTGCTCTATGGGATGTCACATGACTTGATGCTCTCTTTGTTCCTGTTTAACATCTACATAATACCACATATTTTGGCAATATGCTGAACATGGGGCCAGGCTTGAAGAGCATTTAAAAGCTACAGCTGGTACTGAATGCAGCAGGGGGGACAATGTTAGCTACCCCTAGGATGGCACATGTAATATGTAATCCATATTATGCAAGCTGCATTGGTTTCTGGTTTGTATCCAGGTCCAATTCAAGATTTGTGTTATCACAGTTTATGTCCTACATGGCATTGGACCAGGATAGTTCAATTACCAGATTGCCATGAAACCAAAAATGCTGAGACCCTAGAAAGAGTACAGAGAAGAGCAACAAAGATGACAAGCAGTCTGGACATGTATTTGTACAATAAATGGTTATGTCTATAGTAAGAAAGGGAAGGGTTAGGGTTGAAATGATAGCAAAACGGTAAAGGTTTCCCTTTCAGTTGTGTCCGGCTTTTGTGCACAGTGTTCACCTCTGTTTCTTGGTCAAGGGAACCAGTGTTGTCTGAAGACAATTTCCATGGTGATGTAGCCATCGTGGTCATACAACAAAGGTGCATAGATAGCAATCTTCCAAATTTGAGGGGTTGTCACAGAGAAGGGGTCAATTTATTTTCCAAAGCACTTGAGGGAAGGACAAAAAGTAATGGTTGGAAACTTATCAATGAGAGACCCAATCTAGAATGGGGGAGTAACTTCCTGATAGAGAGAGTAAGTAATGATAGAGAGAGTAAGTAATCAAGCTTTCCTCCAACAGTTGTGGGTTCTCCATCACTAGAGGTTTTTAAGAAGAGATTGAACAGCCATTGACTCAGAATGGGCAAGGGGTTAGACTAGAACACCCCCAACTTCCCTTCCAGCCCATTGATTCCATTTGAGACACTGCCAGAGAAAGGTGGCTGCAGTTTGTTGGCTGAGATGGGGGGCTAAGGGTGGTGACCAGGGCAAGGCAACTGCAGCCAATTGTCCCACTAACATCAACGTGATGGATTGCAAAGAAATTAAGCTATAGAGACTCTGAACACCCATGAGAGCAACAGAGAGGGTAGAGGCAAGAGTGGTGGAAGAGCAGAAGAGGAAAGTCTGCAGTTATTGGAAACAAACATAAGTTTAGAGGCACCAAGCATTAATACATCCTTGAGAGATGGGTTGTTTACCCACCTATGAAGTATTACTTAGTTTGCCCCGTACTCAAGAAACAATTGCTGGGTCACACCATACTGGACAATTTTGGTGGACCTTGGATAGATCCTCATTTCTGTGAAGGTTCAGGCTTGGTATGGGATGGAAATGGCATTGGTTGCACTTTTAGATAAACTTTGGAAGGAACAGGATGGAGCAGTGCGTCCATTCTGACTCAACATGACCTCTTGATAGTCTTTCATATCATCAACCATCAAGTGTGGAAGTCAGGAGTCCAGGCAATACAAATGAAAATAGGTTTATTGTATGCTGAAGCTCTCTGCAAGAATCCAATCTACTAATATCATCATTGTCATCATCAGCCATTCTGTTGTGTCTGACCCTTGGCCACTCACAACCCATAGATCAAAATTCACTGTTGTTGACACCCAACTGAAACTCCACTGAGCACAGGAGCTCTGAAGCTTCCTGCAATACTACATAGACCATGTGAGGGAAGCAGAATGTATCAGCTTGTCAAAGGGCTGCATGGCACAATTACAGAAGTGGCCACCATTTTCCAAGTGATTACAATTGAATGAGGTCACTGCTGGCTGCTTTCAAAATCATGCTGGAAGGGTTTGCTAAGTGAAGCTGTCACAACAATTGTGGAATGACTTCAGTTTTTGTATGCTTTGCAAATCTGCAAATGTTATCAATGTGATAGCTTGCAAAGATACTGTTTCATCATCTTTATTCAAAATGGACTATTTGTAATGATTGTGTGGCTATTATAACTGCTTAATCCTTCAGCCCCCCCTCCCTCCCAAAACCACTGTGGAACAAAATGCAGGACAAAAAACCAATAATCAAATCTCATGGCAGGTTTTATTGTTAAGAATGCAACCTGGATAAATCATGTCTGGAGAATAGTGGGAGGAACTCCTAAAGACAAAAGGATGCATTCTCATTTATCCATTTCAGAAAAGAGGAGAAAATCATATATGCATAAGTAATAGATGATGTAAACCAGACATGTCAAACACAAGGCCCGGGGCCCGGATGCAGCCCATAAAGTGGTTTCATGTGGCCCGCGAAGCCGTCCTGGAAACAGTGAGGGAATGGCCCCCTCTGCCTTGGCCCTGGCCCAGGCCAGCTGGGAGCCAATGTACAATTTTGTGGTGGCCATCTATGCTGAAATGCATTCAGTCTTAGCTCCATAAGACACCCCCCCCCTGCATGGCCTAAGAGGAACAATGAGGTTCCTCCAGTGGACCATGCCTCGGGACTTGCCCCGGTCCTATCCCCTTCTGCCAGAGACCCTCAGATCTATCCCACTCCTGCCCAGACCCCCACAGTCCCCCTTAACGTGAACGATGTAGAGCTGGCCACGCCCACCCAGTAGGCCGCACCCACCCTGACCACACCCACCCAGCCCCCTGAGGGCAACCGCAACACTGATGCGGCCCTCAATGAAATTGAGTTTGACACCCCTGATGTAAACATACATATTCATAATAAAAAATTCTCCACTTATTTCCCCACTCTTCTACTGTTACTATCTTCAACAAAGAAGCTTTCTCTTAATAAAAGAACATCTCAGTTACATTGACATAGACATTTTGTTAAAGCTTATTAAAAACTAGAGAATTCGAGTTTGCTATTTTTTGGGCCAATTTGCACACATTCCTCCTATGTTTATATTTCTCACATGAGAGGCCATCTGATGGAATGGAAATGTTATCCTCAACATACCAACTATCCAGGGCTGATGGTTCTGCTCAAAGTCAGTCATGTCTTGGTCACTTCCTATTTGGACTACTGCAATGTTCTTGCATTGGGTCTACACTTGAAGACCCCTTGAAAAAAGTAGCTGGTTCAAAATGAAGTGGTGCTCACAATATTGAACATTTCTAGGTTCACCCATGTTAGACTTTTATTGCATGAGCTGCAGTGGTTTCCAGGTTCCTCCAAGGCACCATTCAAGGTGCTGGTTATCATCTTTAAATTACTATATGTCACAGGACTGGGTGTTTGGCAGATGTCTCCTGACATTAGTTAGGAAACTGGAATGACTATCATACCCTGTATGACCTTGCTGGGAACATGTACTCATTAAGGACATTTGATTGTGATCCTGGGCATGGGTTGAATTATTCTTGTGCAGACTCTCTGTACACGCAGATCTCATAGAGCACCATGGTTTACCAAGAAAGTCAAAGAGCCAAAATGTCCCAAGAGATTATTAACGTATTGCATACATTTATGACATAACTTTACTCATCCATTTCAGGGAAATTCTGTCTGACATTGATGAGGAAGTACAGCAGATCTGAATGGTGGGGGATTTCAACTGTACCATTTCAAAAATAATTGAATAATAGTAGGGAATAGTCTAAAGCCTCACACATCTAAGGAAACAACCATATATGTTTAAAAATATTGATACTGAACCCATTTGTTTAAAACACTACCTTAAAAAAAATAAACAAAATAAAATAAGGAAAAAATTTCCCTCCTTGAAATAATAAACATATCTTTAACAACAAGCTTTCATCTACTCAGGACCCTGTACCTCACTGAGGACACCCTGAAGACATGACAAACAAAGGTCTGGGTGATTGTTATTGACCACAGGTAAATTGTAACCAGTTATAGTACTTGATAACAAATTCATTAATGGAGAAATTCCTTCATGCCATCATTTTTTAGAATTTTTAACAACTTCTAAACATGCACAAAAGACAAATATATATGAGACTAATCCTTGCATTTGTTATAAATTCTTGTTTCTTACTATATTTTTTCTACAATTCAGATCGGGCCTCAGTAAAATAATGTAGCATTTGGGGAAAAAGATACATGCCAAGAGAGCAGCTCCAGAGGCCAAAATAGAGAAGATCTCCACAGCCACCATGGACTTCCCTTTGGTGCTCAGGTAGGTAGGGAGGAAAGTGATCCAAACACAGCAAAAGACGAGCATGCTAAAAGTAATGAACTTGGCTTCGTTAAAGCTGTCAGGCAATTTCCTAGCTAGAAAGGCCACTGTGAAACTGACAAGGGCCAAAAAACCCAGATAGGCAAGAACAATGTAAAACATTAAAGCTGAGCCTTCCTTACATTCCAAGATGATCTCTCCAAACAAGGAATGGAAGTCCAAGTTAGGAAATGGTGGAAATGTACCTAGCCAGGTGGCACAAAGAAGTGCTTGGACAAGAGGACAGGCTATGACAATGGAGTTGGTCAGTGGTTTCCCTAAGAGTTTACTTGTCCTGTTCCCTGGCTTGGTGGTCATGAACGCCAGAACCACCATGACAGTTTTTGCCAACACAGAGGACACTGCAAGGGAAAAGAGAATGGCAAAGGCAGATTGTTGGAAGAGACAGGTGATCCTCCCTGGTTGACCAATAAAAAGGAAGGAGCAGAGGAAGCAGAGCAGGAGGGAGACCAGGAGGACGTAGGTGAGATCTCGGTTGTTGGCCTTGACGATTGGTGTGTCATGATGTTTATAAAAAATAACCAAGACTGCAGATGTTATCATCAAGAGAAGAAGAGCAAGAAAAACTAAAATGTACCCCAGGGTCTCTTCATAGGCAAGGAAGTGGATCTTCTTGGCAATGCATTGGTCCTTGTCCTTGTTGGGATATTGGTTTTCTGGGCAGTGTTCACAATGAGCTGCATCTGAAATCAAAAGTCTTTGTCTAAGAATTTTTGAACAACTACCATGCATATTATCCCTCCTGCAAGCGTGACTTTTGTGTTGTCTTTTTGCTGTTGAATTGCCCCATAACATTTATGGGGCATCGAAAAGAGCAAATCATCCTTCATTTATGAAGATCCTGGGATAGATTATCCAGAGACGAGGATTTGTTCAGTTCCAGCTATCCATTCACTGTGCACTTACATGAGTAACATAGCTTTCAGTTTGAGATTACAGCCTGTTCTTTCCCATATTTTATAATGGAGCCCACAGAAGACCAATAGATTTGTTATCCAGGAATGCTGCTGTTTTATTTGTGTGTACATTATCCCTGCTTTGATCTCTCTGCTTTGTACTTCAAATCTGTTCATTCAGACTTTTTTTTCTCCCTCCTTTCCTATCAAAAAGACATAGATAAATGGATCTTCTCTTTCTCTGGCAGGTCTATTTTCTCAGAGATTGATAATGCTGACAGAGGAAGCACACTCTAAATGATAAAAAATAAAGCTTGGACCACACACCCCACTTCCCCAGGAGATGATTGGATGTTGGTTTTCCCAATTGGATGTGAAAGTAGGAGTGGAAATGCAAGTTAGTGATTCATAAATTGTGCCCCAAAACTATCCTTGCTGAGGATCGGGAAATGTGGCCTCTGTGGCCAGGGCAGTTTAGATCTGTAAACTGAAAGGTTCTATTGAAAAGTATGAGTGCATGTCAATCTTATCAAAAATGACCCACAATATCAAAAATATATTGATTTAATGACTGTCTTCCTTGATCCTGGAAGATTTACATTTGAAGTCTGGTCTACCTGTCTGATTAGAAGTGGTCCCTTCTGGACAAGTGTCACACTGGTAGCAGCAAACCAGCTTGCCCTCTGGAACACTCCTCCTCTCTCCTGCATGACACCTCTTCATGCCACACCTGGCAAAGGGGATCGTCTAAAAGATAAATACTTGAAAATACTTAAGCAATCAACATGTTGCATTCATTCTTTGCCCATTCCTTCCTTATTCCTACTTCAATGTTCAGATTCTTTTCTAAAGAAATAGATTGCTACCATGTATCAGAAATCAGGAACAGTTCTTGAGGGATTCAGGCTAGTGGCATTCCTGTCACACCAATAGATGCTGGAGATTGGAAATGGGTTTCATCCTGCAGAGGAAGGCTTGTGACTGAACTACAGCATTTCTTTAAAAAAAAGAACGCTGAGGATACAACTGTGTGGCAATGGTTCATGGAAACTGCTGTGGATAGAGTAGAGTAGAGTAGAGTAGAGTAGAGTAGAGTAGAGTAGAGTAGAGTAGAGTAGAGTAGAGTAGAGTAGAGTAGAACAGAAAAGAATTGGAAGGGACTTGGAGGTCTTCTAGTCCAGCCCCCTGCTCATGCAGGAGAACCTATACCATCTCATACAAGTGAATGTCTAGCCTCTTCTTGAAAACCTCCAGTGATAGAGCGCCCACAATATCTGCAGGTAAGCTGTTCCACTGATTATTTGTCCTCACTGTCAGGACGTTTCTCCTTAATTCCAGGTTGCTTCTCTCTTTGATCAGTTTCCAACCATTGTTTCTTGTCCTGCCCTCGGGTGCTTTGAGAATAATGTGACCTCCTCTTCTTTGTGGCAGCCCTTCAAACACTGGAATACTACTATCATGTCTCCCCTATTCCTTCTTTTCTTTAGACTAGCCAAACCCAAGTCCTGCAGCCATTCTTCTTATGTTTTAGTCTCCAGGTTTTGATCATTTAGTTGCTCTTCTCTGAGTTTTTTCCAAACTTTCAACATCTTTTTTTGTGATATAGTGACCAAAATTAGCTTCAATATTCCAAGTGTGGTCTTACTAGGGTTTTATAAAGCAGTACTAGTACTTTGCGTATTCTTGATTCTATGCTTCTGTTTATACAACCCAGGATTGTATTAGCTTTTTTGGCTGCTCTAATCTTATCCTGCATTTCAAGCAGACATTGTTTCCAAACCTAACCCTTTGTGTAATGAAAAAAATCAGACCTCAAATGTGATACATGTAAAGTAGATTTTTCACCAAATGACTGCCAGAATTTCTGATTGAAATGATTATTTTTCAAGTTAGAAACTAGTTCTGCATCTCAGGAAGAGAATTAATCATTCTCCCTGAATTTACAATATTTCCTTGCATTGCACCTTTGTGACCCAGATGATTCCATCAGAATTAATGGTGAAATCCTGGCCTGGGGGAGCCTCAGGATTTACTTGCCCAATCTTCATGGGGACAAAAGATTGATTGGGGAGGAAAACCCAATTGAGAAGATCATAACGAGCAGATCCCAGTCCGTTTTCTGAGAAGGAGACTTCATCTCCAGCACTGTTGTTGAACTGCACATTGCTCAAAAAGGCAAGAATCTGAAAGAAAGGAGACCTTCAGAAATTGGAGTATTTGGGTTAGAGCTACAAATGAGACATCATGGCTTCTACCATCACATGATGACCATCTTGAGATAATGGGTTTATGTCTGAGAAGTGAGAAGAGTTCTCTTGGTGGAGATCTGAAGAATCAAGAGTAACACTAAGTATTTAACTCTGAATCTATGCAAGTTTCCCTTTATTACAGGGCATGGTTTCCAAATTTCATCAAACTACAATACATACAAAAATTCCAAATTCAATTATAGGATTTTCCTCTTGTGATTCTTGGCTACATGTAATTTCAAACTTTGGCCAATTTCTTGTTAATGGACAAATGAATTTTAGAAATCAATAAATAATTCCACTGACTTTCTCTAGCTCATACTCAAAGGCAGCAGAATGCAGGAACCAGGTCTGACCAAGTGGGACCATGTAGAACAGAGGTATCAAACTGCTGGCCCATGGGCTGGACACATAATCTGGAAGCCGCACCCACCCCATTACCAGCAATGGCAAAACCGTCCGATACGTTGCATGACGTCATGTGACATCGCGAGTTTCACATATCTGATGTACACCTGCCCTGGATGGTCATTTCAGTATTTACAGAGGTCCAACATTTTATCTTTAATGTAGAAAATTCTGATGAATTTCAGACGAGGAGCCCATTATGACAACTTTGAATCCTGCCATGTGCTATGGCTGACATAGAAACAGAATAACATTGTTGGAAGGGACTTTGGAGGTCTTCTAGTCCACCCCCTGCTTAAGCAGGAGACCCGCTACCATTTCAGACAAGTGGCTTTTCTGTCTCCTTAAATACCTCCAGTTATGAGGGACCCATGACTTCTAAAGGCAAGCTGTTCCCCTGATTGTTTTCAATGTTAAGAAATTTCTCCTTAGTTCTAGGTTGCCTCTCTCCTCGCTTAGTTTCCATTCCTTATTAAAAGAAGCTTTTTTCACATAGCAAGTGGAGTAGTGCAATAAATGAAAAACTAAAGAAAAAGATCAGAGTCACACACAGAGATTATAAAAGCCCAGTCTAGCACAAAGCCACAAAGAAGAAAAATAACAGCTCTCAAAAGAAACCAGCATGGCTGCATAAAGAACTCTCTGATAAAATGAAAGTCAAAAAGGACAAGTATAAAAAGTGGAAAGAGGGGCACATAACTATAGCAGAATATGAGCAAATAGCCCAAGCCTGCAAAGATGAAGTGAGGAAAGCTAAGGCTCAAAATGAGGCTTGAGACAAAAAGTCAAAAATAAGAAAAAAAAAGCTTTTTCAACATGTAAAACACAAGAAAATAGTTAAGGAAATGATTGGTCCATTAGTGGGAGAAAGTGGCAAGAAGGTGACAAGCAACAGGGAGAAAGCAGAACTACTTAACTTGTATTTTGCATCCGTTTTTACAGAAAGGGAAAAAACAGTCCAACTTATTAAAACAGTACCATAAAAAACAGATTAGAAACACAGGTTAAGTTGTTGTTGTTGTTATTATTATTATTATTATTATTATCATCATCATCATTATTATTATTATTATTATTATTGTTGTTGTTGTTGTTGTTGTTGTTGTTAATAATAATGATGAAGATGATAAAGTTGGAAGGGACCTTGGAGATCATCTAGTCCAACCCCCTGCTCAGGCAGGAAACCCTATACCATTTCGGACAAATGGCTGACAAATGGGAGTATCAAGATATTTAATAAGTTTCTGAAGAAATATCTCAGAGGCTGCCACAAAGAAGAGGGAGTAAAGCTATAAATTCGAACAATAAAATAAATAAATTCTCCAAAGTGCCTGAAGGCAGGACAAGAAGCAATGGGTGGAAACTAATCAAGGAGAGAAGCAACCTAGAACTAAGGAGAAACTTCCTGACAGTTAGAACAATTAACCAGTGGAACAACCTGCCTCCAGAAGCGGTGAATGCTCCAACACTGGAAGTTTTTAAGAAGAAACTGGACAGCCATTTGTCCGAAACGATATAGGGTTACCTGCCTGAGCAGGGGGTTGGACTAGATGACCTCCTAGGTCCCTTCCAACAACATCCTCCTCCTCCTCCTCCTCCTCCTCCTCCTCCTCCTCATCATCATCATCATCA